CACACACACACACACACTTGTCATGTGATGTGTGGTGCGCCATGGGGTCCAGATGAGTGGAATCTCAGTGTTGGCTCTCGCTACACTGAGCACCACAGGGGGTCTTTATCGTCGCAAAAATCAACAAAGCCACAGTCACGAAGCGCCGTCTCGATCACACACACAAACACGAGCACACGCATACATAAGCGGATATGCGTCCAGGCACATTCACGCACACACTGGCAACACACAAAAAAGCAAATGGGAAAGAAAGAACAAAAAAAAACAACAAAAGCGCTCACACAAGTGACAAAAGCTCACAAAAACATTCTCGTTTTGACACGCAAAGACAAGAGCACAGCTGGACAATGTTTTCAGTGGGACATGCACACACCCCACGAGCTCTCACGCACAATCCCAGTCCGAAAAAGAAAATCATTTACCAAAATTAGGGGAAAAACATGGATAAGACCCTTAACTACTTAATCCCTTCTTAAATGCTTGCGTGATCTATCGTGTCTGTGATTTCAGAGAGAAGCAGGATGAAGTGCCAGCTAAGCAGATAGAAAGGAGGAAGCATTTGTTCGATTAAAGGAGGGAGAGAGTTTGAAAGAGAGTTTAGATGGATCCAGGTATGATGCGAGGCTGCACTCCTGCCTTTGTTTTTTCCTCTCTTAATCCGCCGGCCATCATCATATCACTTGATTAAACCTAATCCTAATGCCTCTAATCCCCAAGGCACCCAAAAAAACCTAAGTGCCTTGTACCTCTCCATAACATCTCTAAACAGATTTCTGTTTACAGTATTTCTATGACAGTGAGGGTTGTAGTTTTTCCAGCCTCCTAAACTCACACACGGTTATAAGTTTGTGAAGATCTGTTGGGGCCTGCTCTCTATATTATTATGTGTCTTCCTGCTTTGTATCTTCATTAAAAGCCTTGACTGTCTCCTTATGTGGTAAATATAATTAAGAGACAAATATGACTTGGTCACATTTTGGCCAGGCTGATATATTAACCGATCTGTAAGCAGTCTGTCAGAAACCGCAGATATGGGTTCAAATGCGACCTGCGGCCCTTTGCTGCGTGTCATTCCCTCTCTGTCTATCTTCAGCTGTTACTATCAATAAAGGCAATAAAAGGCCAAAATATATATATATTTAAAAAAATAAAAAAATACTTGTGTCCCCCCACCTCTGAAATTTAAATTTCGTCCTTGAGACGCATTAATATACTTATTTTTTCTCTGTGTAGGTTGTAAAATGTTATCAGATTTAAACCTTGTATCTCCAAATGTCAACAAGCTGGAAACTCAAAAG